TTTCCCCCAACTTCAAGTTAATATCCACTTACAGATGATTTCAACAAGTCTCACAAACATGACTTTCATATCTGACTGATCAAACCACAGATCTCATTCCAAATTTAACAGAAGTCGACTTCATACTACCGGTATTATTTCATAAGTTAAACCAAACAGTTTCTTTAATATTAGACTTTGAATAGAGTAAGAATATGTTTGTACAGATCCAATAGAACAATTTATAGACTAATTCATCATCTTCAACAAGTGTATGAAATTAATAATTTCAAATTATTCTAAAAACTCAGGAGACTAAATGAGCTAGTTTCATTCCATACACTACTGCAATTCTGTAAGTCAATCCAATATATAGAGCATATAGAGTATAGGAGTATATAGAGTAAAGGAGTATATAGTGTACAGGAGTATTTAGTGTACAGGAGTATATAGAGTATAGGAGTATATACAGTATAGGAGTATATAGAGTATAGGAGTATATAGAGTATAGGAGTATATAGAGTATAGGAGTAAAGGAGTATATACAGTATAGGAGTATGGTTATAGACTAATTATAGACTAATTCATCATCTTCAACAAGTGTATGAAATTAATAATTTCAAATTATTCTAAAAACTCATGAGACTAAATGAGCTAGTTTCATTCCATACACTACTGCAATTCTGTAAGTCAATCCAATATATAGAGCTTATAGAGTATGAGAGTATAGGAGTATATAGAGAATAGGAGTATATAGAGTATAGGAGTAAAGGAGTATATAGTGTACAGGAGTATTTAGTGTACAGGAGTATATAGAGTATAGGAGTATATAGAGTATAGGAGTATATAGAGTATAGGAGTATATAGAGTATAGGAGTAAAGGAGTATATAGTGTACAGGAGTATTTAGTGTACAGGAGTATATAGAGTATAGGAGTATATAGAGTATAGGAGTATTTTGAGTATAGGAGTATAAGAGTATATAGATTATAGGAGTATATAGAGTATATACAGTATATAGAGTATAGGAGTATATACAGTATAGGAGTATATACGGTATAGGAGTATATACAGTATAGGAGTATATACAGTATAGGAGTATGGTTATAGACTAATCATAGACTAATTCATCATCTTCAACAAGTTTATGAAATTAATAATTTCAAATTATTCTAAAAACTCAGGAGACTAAATGAGCTAGTTTCATTCCATACACTACTGCAATTCTGTAAGTCAATCCAATATATAGAGCTTATAGAGTATGAGAGTATAGGAGTATATAGAGAATAGGAGTAAAGGAGTATATAGTGTACAGGAGTATTTAGTGTACAGGAGTATATAGAGTATAGGAGCATATACAGTATAGGAGTATAGGAGTATATAGAGTATAGGAGTATATACAGTATAGGAGTATATAGATTATAGGAGTATATGGAGTATATAGGAGTATAGGAGTATATACAGTATAGGAGTATATAGATTATAGGAGTATATAGAGTATGGCAGTATATAGAGTATAGGAGTATATACAGTATAGGAGTATTTTGAGTATATAGAGTATAAGAGTATATAGATTATAGGAGTATATAGAGAATAGGAGTATATAGAGTATAGGAGTATATAGAGTATAGGAGTATATAGAGAATAGGAGTATATAGAGTATAGGAGTATATAGAGTATAGGAGTATATAGAGAATAGGAGTATATAGAGTATAGGAGTATATAGATTATAGGAGTAAATAGAGTATCGGAGTATATAGAGTAAAGGAGTATATAGAGTATAGGAGTATATAGAGTATAGGAGTATATACAGATTAGGAGTATATACAGATTAGGAGTATATAGAGTATAGGAGTATATACGGTATAGGAGTATAGGAGTATATAGAGTATAGGAGTATATAGAGTATAGGAGTATATAGAGTATAGGAGTATATACAGATTAGGAGTATATACAGATTAGGAGTATATAGAGTATAGGAGTATATACGGTATAGGAGTATAGGAGTATATAGAGTATAGGAGTATATAGAGTATAGGAGTATATACGGTATAGGAGTATATACGGTATAGGAGTATGGTAAAGAATGAGTTTCCATACCTTTACATTTAAATTTGTTAGGTTTAACAGTGCCAATCTTTTTTCTACTCATTCGTCTAGGAGATTCACAGCGAGCCCCACTTGTTTCTATAGGATTTAACTGTAAATACTTGGCTAACCAATATAAATTACAATCACAAATGAATGGATTCCTTGCTAAATGTCTGAAAAAAGAAATCAAAATTTAGAGGAAGAATTAAAAATAACAAGCCTGATCTCGAAAGTTAACTTCCATGTACATGGATTGCTAAATCTAAGTATAAGAGAACCTGAAAATTTACTTACAAAGTTTGAATATTTTTCAATGGTGTAAAAGTTCCATTGGCTAATGATTGAATCTTATTATCATACAAAGATCTAGAAATATTAAAAAGAAAACACATTCAGAACTTTTAAATTGGAATGTAAATAATGACATTACACAGTCCAGCTGGGAGAAGTCTTCTTACTTTTAACTTAATCTTATAGTTATATATTTATTGATAATGTTTCTTTAGTCTTATTTCAAATGTAACCTTGAGGTGTTGGAAAGGTCAAATGCTTTGAAGTTTCTTCTTTATAATTTATATTTATCTTCTAGTGCACTTTGTCTTAACATTTGAATACATCATTAGATTATCTTTAAAATACTTTTTTCAAAACAAAATACATGGTAGGCTTCACCCTTTGACCAACTTCAACTATCATTAACAAAATGAAATGAAATGAATGGAGTTTTACATCCTACTTTTCTGCACCATGTAAGCAACACCATGCAGGATGCAATGAGGAAAATTCTGCCAGGACAGTGGCATTAGCCGGCTCTTTTTCGATTTCCACCTGTCAAGGAATCTTTAACATGCACAGCCTGTAGCACACAGGCCCTCGGTAAAATTGTCCTATCCAGAAGACTCGACGCTTTTTCCATGTCAGCCCCTCTTACCTGCATCACTGACAGAGGGAAAACGGGTGAAAAATCTGAAGGTAATTTCATGACCTATGCCGAGAACTATCAATAACAGGAGACTGTTCTTTAATGGATTTCCAGAAAGGAACACAAATATGGCAACTTCAGTCAATTGATACTTACAATAGATTTAAGCTTTGTAAATCTTTGAAGGCATCCACTCTCACACATACAATTCTATTGGCATTCAACAATCTAAAATAATAACAAGGAAAATATATTTATACATCTAAAAAGACATGATATGGTTAATATCCAATGAATTTACTATATACCGAGTTTCATTGCTGAGGCAGTACTCCTTTGGAGTCAGCCTATGAACTTTAAAGCACCCAGCCACCCCTCCCTCCTATGTATCTACTAATTGTAACTATAATATCAATGTAATGTAGTCTACACACTTTCAAATTGCAATAGACCTATGATAACAATCCATGTCATATCTTTAGACCAAACTACAACTTGACTCGATGAGCTCAGATATTTGTTTTTAAAAGTGAATTAAATAAATGTCATCCTGCCTATTCAGAGTTATTGACTTAAGAGTGTGTAAACTAACATACTGTACATGTATGTATACCTTCACAACTTTATTCTTTATCTTTAGTTTTGCTTATCATGCAAAAAATTGATCCCTTATGTAGTTGTGATTCCTCAGGGAATGGAGGTGTGGAACATGGGGTCATGGGAAATATAGTAATGAGACATACCATTCTGAACATTAAGTCATTGGGCATTAAGTATTGGGACATGGAATCATAAGACATAGATTGTTGGACATAATGTTGATTTTCCAGACTGTTAATTTACTTACAATAATTGCAATTTATATAATCCATTAAATACACCAGGGGGTAAATCTGTTATTTTATTACCATATAAAACACTGAAAATAACAATTAAATATAATCATATCATAACAGTCATACTGAAATTAACAATTATAATCATATCATAAAAGTCATACTGAAATTAACAATTATAATCATATCATAACAGTCATACTAAAATTAACAATTATAATCATTAATCATATCATAACAGTCATACTGAAATTAACAATTACAATCATATCATTACAGTCATACTGAAATTAACAATTATAATCATATCATAACAGTCATACTGAAATTAACAATTATAATCATATCATAATAGTCATACTGAAATTAACAATTATAATCATATCATAACAGTCATACTAAAATTAACAATTATAATCATTAATCATATCATAACAGTCATACTGAAATTAACAATTACAATCATATCATTACAGTCATACTGAAATTAACAATTATAATCATATCATAACAGTCATACTGAAATTAACAATTATAATCATGTCATAATAGTCATACTGAAATCAACAATTTTAATATATTGTTCAAATTTAACTGTGGGATGCTCATAAATATGTTAATCAAAATGAATTGAAATGAAATGAAAATGAGTTCTACGTCCTACTTTTCTTCACCATGTGGGCTAATGAAGTCTGGCAACGCCATGCAGTGTACAATGAGGGAAATTTTGCCAGGACAGCAGCAATAGCCTGCTCTTTTTCGATTTCCAAAAGTCGAGGGATCTTTAACATGCACATGGGGCCTCGGTTTATTGTCCCATCCGAACAACTAGACTCTTTATCCATGTCTTACCTGCATCACTGATATGAGTTGAGATTTTATGAAAGTCATAACTTCTTAACTTGTAATATGATGTAACGTGTCATGATTAAATTGGTTTTATTTAGGAATTTAAGTAGACAAAGAGAACATACTCTTATACTTCTAGATATAATTCAAGATACGAGTGCAATACTTACAGTGAACTAAGAGAATGTAAACCAGAGAAGGCATCGGGTGCCAAATATGATATCTGGTTATTACTGAAATCACTGAAAATAATCAGAATCAGAAGATCATACATTATGGCACTTCCGTTAACTTGATAGAAACTTTATCCTACTTAATTACATACCACGAGTAGGCAATCTTAATGTTATTGATAATTAAATATAGAACATCTCCCTCAGATACAAAAATACTCTCAGATATTTTATCAACTTATGTAAATAGTTTTGCAATTCAAGAATTTGTTAATAATAATTAGAATATGTAAAATAACATACAAAATAAACAAAATTATCTTGAGAAATTAGTTAAAGAATTCAAAAGATAATTGTAAAGGAACATGTTAACAATTGAATTAGAAGAAAAATTAAAGAACTATCAATTTCATCATAATCAATCAACAGGAATGTATTACAATTTTGAATTTCTGCCTGGTCCTCTAAAATTAGACCAAATTTTCGTTTTTTTATTACATTTTATTTTTAATGAAACCACAGTCTAAAGAGTCGGTTTTGAAAGTTTGGTCTAATTTAACTAGACTGTCTTCTTATGATGTTATATATTGGTTCAGTGAGAAAATTTTGTAGGAAATATCTATCTTTAAGTGATTTGCATCTTGTAATTAAATGTATTTATGATGTTCTATGCTGTGCTTGTTAAAAGGTTAGTCAGCTGATGAGATGTATCAATACAGTTTTATGTCATATCATTCAGCATCTTATTTGAGTTAATGGAAGGAAACAGGACTTAGTATACTCACATTCTTCTTAGTTTTTTCATATCTTCAAATATTCGAGAAGGAATTTGGGTTATATGATTTTGTTCCATACGACTGAAAAGATAATGTCAATTCATTAATGGGACAGGTCAATTTTAGTCTTGAATATATGTAAATAGTCTTCAGAAGTACTAGAAATGTATGAAAATCGCATAATTCATTCAAAAATACTTCAAACTAGGAATTTTAGTTACTATTTCTATATTATATCTTTTCTATATATCATGAGTTGTCATTCTAACAATCAAACCCGTATAATTCTGGACACACATGGATTTGAAGGCTCTAATTTTGATGGTGAGCTGTTAATATTATTAATGGCTTAAAGATGGCTTTCCTTATTTTTTAGTGTCAAATTAAGCAAACTGTTTGATTAAGTGGTGTTTCTAAAGAATTATCATTTATTCTTAATCATATAATTATGTTCTTATTGCATATAATTAAGACTTTAAACCAATCAAAAATTTCCATATATTTACAGTCCGGATAAACAAAAAAAGACTTTTTGACCTTTCTTGATCGGTCAGTCATTGGAATTCTGTTGGTAATTCTCCTCTAAATTAGCTAATTATGAATTAATTATGGGCATTGGTCAATAAGAATGGCGCACTTCAAGTACTTAAAAAATAACGAGATATCTTAGAAAATATGAAAATGTTAACTATTCTGTTACCTCAGTAATTTGTATCTATATCAGTTTTGATGTAATATTTTTGTAAATTTAACAAATAAATAAACTGATTAGAAACAATCTAAAGAGATTTTTATAGAAATTTCTTATTGAAACTAAAACTTTCATTGTTTCAAAAATCTTAGCCTGAAATCTCATGATGTAATTTGTTTTGTGAAAATGTGTAGAAACAGCAGATAACTGGATGCAGAGCTGAAATCCAGCACAGTACATGTTTCAATTTTTTCTCTGCCCAATATTTGAAGCAATATTAACATGAGTGATGTAAAAATAAAATAATTATTACAGATGTTACTTTCATCAGTAATATTTAACAAGCCATATGGGAGGACCGTTTAAAACTCAGTTTAAGATAAGATATAAATCACTAAATCTTGATGAGGGTCACAGATATTTTCATTGTTTTCAATTGTGTATATGGGACATAATTTGATTCAGCATCGATAAATCCACAAATTTGTGAAATTTCACAATTTTAATGATTTTTAGACAGGTTTGTGTTGATAAAATGAAGGTCTTTGATATAACTTTAAATCTGGTAAACGAATTAAGATTTTGGGTGGTCTTCAGATCTCCCATTTACATAACATGAAAAACCAAAATTTTGGTTTAACCGACATGTATTATATAAAAACCTTTAAGGTCAATGACAGTTTTGATTAAAAATTTCACAGCTAGAAATTTTAACACTTAGTTTAAGATTTGTTGGCGATCAAAAAAAAAAAAAAATAATAATAACACAAACTGACTCATATCAATGGGAAAATCATGCTCTTAAAGGGACATTCTGCTTTTTTCGTAGGTCAGAAAAATTGTTTGCTCAAATTTGTGAAAACTATAACAAACTGAATAGAAATGAATCCAATAACGTATCTGAAAAAAATCCAGCAGTTAATTTTTTAACGCCAAAACTTACGTAAAAGGTTACATAACCTTTCAAAGTTCGTTATGCTTTTTGCAAGCTGTTAGAAAACTACTGTCCAGATTTGAGTAAAATAAACGCCTAATTGTAGAGAAATATGTCTCCTACATATTCTAAAAACTAAATATAACGAGCCAATCATCGAAACTAAGGCTAAACTGCTTAATTAACAATCCGTTCTCTCAGTTTTTAATTAACCCGTTTAAAACAAATTCAGTTTTATCAAGTAGATACATAGACACAAATAGCATACTTTAGAAATATATTCAGGTATAATTTACAATGTTTTGATAATGATAATGTTTTACAAAAAAAGCAGAATGCCCCTTTAATATCTTTGAAAAAACAAAATAATGTGAAAGGTTACATATTGACTAATTTTTGTTGTATGTTTCCTCCCATAAATGTTTCAGTTGTGTTTTTATAAATAGAAATCAATAAACAAGGTTAAGAAAGTCAATCCTATATTATATTGTTTTATATGCATATTTTGTGACAGATAATATATCATGTTTATTGTACACAATATTTTTAACTTTAAACATGCACCTGTACATAATATTCCCTATAAAATTACAAAAAAACATGTTTATCAATCAAATACAAAAGGTAAGATAGCTTGCCAGACAAGGTAAGATCCGCCCACTACCAGTTGTCAGAGATGATAGTTACAAACTTGACTTTGATCTCGTCAATATATACATACGTAAATACCAAGTTTCATCAGATAAAAACTGCAGTCTCTATCGAGTCTACAAGCCAAATTTGATAAGTTTTAACTAAGTCAAAGGCAATAACTCTGAAACCATTCATCCGATTATGACCAAATTCAACCCTGACCGAGATTTATCAATACATACATGCATACTAAGTTTCATGAAGATCAGATAAAAATTGTAGCCTTCATCGTACATACAAGCCATATTTAACACATTTTTAGTAAGTCAAGGGCAATAACTCTGAAACAATTCATCGGATTATTACCAGTATCGAACTTGACCGAGATCTATCAACTAAGTTTCATCAATTCAGATAAAAAGTGTAGCCTTTATCATGCATAAATTAAATGTGTTTTTACACAGACAAGGGTAATAACTCTGAAACCATTCATTCGATTATTACCAATTTTGAAATTTTACCAAGATCTCATCAATGCATATATGTATACCAAGTTTCATCAAGATCAGATAAAAACTGTAGACTGTATTGTGCATACAAGAAATATTGCAGACAGACAGGATAGGGGCGGTGGCAATATACATCTACATTTCCATGTGGCATTAATGGTTTTGTATAATCAATCTATCTAAATACACCAAATGAGGAAAATTGGTTGACGCCCTAATATTTCTTACTGAAAATCTTATATTTTTGTTTAAAAAGTAGTTGTGGTACTTGGTACACAGAAATTCACTATTCAATATTCAAAACTTCAGTTTTTTTTATACAAGTTGTTGAATGCTTCATTCATTTAGCAACCTTTCACTTTTGATTTTGAGAGGCAATAAATAATGTCATAATCTGGATACAATAAAAACACTTACATTTCAGTTGCTGTCTCTGGTATATTATCTGGTATTTGTGACAGTCCTTTATTACGACAGTCTATAACACCTTCAGTACATGTACATTTATGTGGACATAAATTATCAACAATGCAGTTCTGATTATGGTGATGATCTCTAATACCATCTGCAATATAAAATAAAAGCTGCAAATATATGACATTATAGCACTCACTAAAAATCAATCTCAAACTTACATAAATAGACTGGAAATGGTAGCAGCATGGATTTTACTGTCCTGCATTTAGTTCAAAATACATTGTGTGACCTTTTTATTTACTGAACTACAAGTTTTCTTGCAATATTACAAATTAGGTCTGCTTAGCTTTGTTCATTCATTGGTGAAACAAAACATTATAAACACTGTACATCATCTTATTTTATTGACCAATCAGATTGCATGACCACTAACAATGTTTATCCTTTATAGGGTGTTGTGTAAGGATAAAAGTCAAGAAGTACGAAGTGAAAGGATTATCCAGCCCTTTCCAAAGAATTCCTACAACTCTAGGGGAAGCAGGGAGGACCATACCTGTAATATATTCATCAGAATTGAACCCATGTCTCCAACGCTGCAAATCATTCTCAAGCTCATAGAAGAAATCTCGTACTGGAAGAAGTTGACAACTCTTTTCTTAAAATGCTAGTAGTCATGATCAGTAGGGTCAGTTATTGCAAACATGGGTTCATATTAGTAACCTCATTATTGTTACTAAAAATTTTATGTTTTCTGAAAACCTGAGTTAATTGAAATTTGAATAACAAAAAATATAACTAATACAAGTAATTCAACCTTAGCAACTAAAAACAAACTCGAAGCCAAACTGAATCTAAATCACAATTAAAAACTGTCCTAGCCTAACTATCAACTTGGTTTCAATTAAAAGGTAGGAAAAAATAAAATTTAAATTCAATGTTAGTATAAGTTATTTCACAGCACTTGAAAATTTGAATTCTAATATTTGTTATTTCCATTTCTAAAGAAACAGTTTCCCATACGACCACACAGCAACTTATTTCATCACAACTTGTCAAGTTGACAAAAATTTGAGATTCTAGGGTCTAGTATATACCATTGACACTGTTGTTAACATAGTTCTTAATTTCAAAAAAAAGTTACTCTTGCTTTAAAACAGGGTTTTTCAAATAAATTAACTTAAGTTTCACTGTTGATATTTAGAATAATATGCTGAAGCGTCACTGATTTTTCACTTCTAGTGTCGCTGAATGGGGCCCTGTTGGGGTCAATACACTGCTGAGAGTCAAGAGGGTGCAGCCCTGAATTCCAATAAATCAAAGTTTGCAAAATCTGAGAAAATTTTACATAATTCATAAAGTCCCTACACATAAATATACCAAGTTTTCATCAAGCTTCAAGACTTTTACTCATTGATAAGATTTACTCTGTCTAGAGGACAGATTGTGGACAGACATGAGACAGTATAGACTTCAATCAGACTGAAGTATACAGTACTTTTCATGTTCTCTTCTATAAACCATGTTCATAATATCATATAATATATATTGAACTCTTGAAACTTGAAATTTTACAAAATACTTAAAATATGTTACATATTGACTAAGACTGGGAACATCTCGTTTCAATTAAGTCTGGGTGTTCTCAAGTGTTGTTTATATTCATCCAGAAGACAAAGAGATAAGCCTTTAAGTTCTTCTATTCACATACAAGAGCAACAATTCATAAGAACTTGGTAGTCAGAAGAGCTGCTTTACATCACCATTTTCTTTCAAAGAATTTATAAATGACATTGATGTGAAGAGAGGCTAATTGTTTTTTCTAAACATTTCTCATGAGATTGTAGATTTTAAACAAAAGGTGACAAACATACCAATACATTTAAAGTCACTTTCTTGTAATTCTGCTAATTCCTTGTTCTTGAGATGTGGTGGATTAGCACATTCAGTAAATAAAGCTAAAGTTGGTTGGTTACGAAGCCATCGTGCTAACCATGCTAGATGACAGTCACATACTAATTTATTTTCACTGATACGTCTGAAAAAATAAAATTGTTTAAAAGTTCTTTAAAATTCTATACTATACATGAATGTATCAACTTGTTTTCGGTGGGGGAGGGGGGAAATTTGTAGTAAAAATTGAAAGGTACAGTGATCTATCTGTCCAGTTTACCAGCTGATGGAGCTCTAACTTTGCCATTCCTCAAACTCTGACAAAAAAAAGTTTTTAACACATTGAAAATTTTTATAGTTCAAGCAAGACGTCTTATTGGGTTTTTCCATTTCATCTGCTTTAGGAGAAAATGGGTTTAAAGTTCAAATCCTTGAAGTGAAGACCAGTGAACAAGCCCCAGCTCTTTACATAATGGGGCTGGCAACTTAATGAAAAGAACCTTGGAGACAGTCTTGTTCAATAGAAGTGTTGTATTGATGTAGAACAAAATATAAAAGGTTAAGGGATCAATTTTCGCGAATTTCTCACATTTGCACTAGAATTAGTACACCTTTCTGGTATTCGAATTAAAGAATTTACACAGTTGAAGAAATTTAGTATAAACTAGTCTCCTGGTTGAAATGACCTTGCAGTAAACTATCTAACAAATGAAACAAACAATAAAGACACATGGAACTACTTTTTGTCTAGTTTTACCAGGTGTAAAGATTGGAGAAAACAGATGGTATAGATTCATACACCATTTGAAATATTTATCTCTGGCCCAATTAGAAAGTTTGTGTAACTTAAAACATTGCCTGGCATTTAAGTATAGTAACAACTGCCAATTACACATTTTACAACATTTCTGCCTGAATTTTTAAACATCTAAAATGTGAATTTATGGTCCATTTTGACATTTATTTTTAAGTAAAAAGTTTGTTTCATTTTTTTGTTGAATGACTGTACTGAAATTCTTTTTTCTGGAAACATATGCCAGATTTCCACTTTGTTAACTAGTAATACATCAAATTGTTCATCATTTTGAATTGTAATGTGGTATTGCTTATCTGCAAAATCAATTACTTTCTTGGCCACAACATTTTTTGAATGTAACTTTCTAGGGATAATTGTGAGGATGTTATAATTTTTCTATTTGTATGATTTGCATATCCAAATAAAATATTGTTTTACTGTAGATCATTTAGAACCTGAATTTAAGATTACATAAAAATGTATATATTTTTTACAATTAAATATTTTATGAAGTATAGTTGTGAATCAATATTCACTTAAACCACCATAAAGATTGAGAAGGAAATGAAAACGTATTGACTTTCCAGAACAGTTTTCATCCACATGTTCCAATTGTACAAAATACATTAAAAAAATAATCACAAGAATCACAACCTAAATCTAAATCAATTGTCTATCTATTAAGTTAAAGGAGATATGAACATCATGAATCATTTACAGCAATTATGACATGATTATAGGATTCAACACAATAATCATCATATTATAATATTAAGCCACATTATAATATTAAGTCACATTATAACAGTAAAGTTAAATCAGATAATTTTGCAATAATCTATTTTAGCCTTGAGATAAACCACAATAATTATATTGTTATTATATGTATCCACTTAATAGTGCTAGAGGCAGAATCCAATTTCTGATGGTTTTCAGTTTTAAATTCTATTACTTCCTAGGGTTTTTGCTACTTGACTATAAAAAAATACAGTGGGCTTGTCAGACCATTGACCACTATCAGCCACCCATCAGTGCTGAATCTGTCTAGTCGTCATCCAGTCCTCACTCTTCATTAATGCAAACAACCTACTGAGTCTCACGCACACATATTCTCAGATGAGACTTGCTACTGCATTTCCACCAGATGGCAGAGTGTAAGTGTGGTGAATAAGATGTTTTAAAGTGTGTGGTTGAAAGAGACCTGTAGGGAGAACCAAGCATTATGATATGATGTGCAACTGGCAACAATCAGAAACTTTCACCTGTTGTCTTCGAGGCAATGGCCATGGTGTCACAGCTGCCCGTTACATAGACCTGGTTCTCAGACGTTTTACCTTAATTTGCAAGACATACTATTTTGAGACTCTCATAAAAATAATAGAAACAATTCAATTAGCTTTTTGCTTTGTTCAGACAATAGCACTTCAATAATAAATTCCAATTTTTAGTCACTTTGATCGGATACAGTCTGCTTTCTCTACACAATTCACTTTCTTCTTCTTATGATGTCTACAAACATAGTACTAATATCATCTTCATCAAAATAGAATTTTCGTTTGCTACTGGATGCCAAGAACTCTTTCATGCTCTTAAACAAAACATAAAGATGGTCTAGATTCTGGTATGAATCGCTCAGAACACAACATGCTTTTACAAGAGATCTTCTCATCCAAGTGGTTAATGAAGAGTTAGAAAGAAAGTCAATGATAAATTTCGTTGCAAACCATCTGAAACTAATCTAAAACCAATTAAAGTAAAAATATGATTATGCCCTCAACTTAGAAAATGTAAAAAGAAAGTCTAATACTTACAAAACTCTCAATTTGGACATAACAGAAAACACATCTTTAGGTAAAGTTGTGATATTATTGTTACTTAATGTTCTGAAATGATATAAAAAAAACATTTAGTTTGACATAAAATATATAGTATTCAATACACTTTCTATTGATACAAGTAGTTTGGAGTAGGCATAAGCTAGCAGGGAGAGGGGGGAGGGGAAATCTTTCTTTGAAATAGACTTATCACGGCATGGATCAAGTAGGCCTATATTGGCATTTGCAGGCTTCTAATTCTTAAAACACATGGGGAGGGCCCGCCAGACCTTGATAGTAAAATCACACCCTCGATGCTCATGGGCTTCCTCAGAAAAAGAAAGAATACAGCAGGATGTCGAACTATATTTCATTTTCTATAGCCTATAGTATGTAGTTGAACACTACATAAATGAAGTATGAATCAACAGACGTTCTATGTTATCTGAATCAAGAACCAAGTCTATGTAAAATACCATCAAATAAGAAATGATGCACTGTAAAATAAGTTATTGGTAATGTTTATAATGTGTGCAATATGGATTCCCTAGAGGAGCTAAAGCTTAATGTCGTCATCATTCATGTTCATTCTTAATAATGTTTCTATATTTACTAGTTAGAACTTTCTTTTCCTTTCTTTTTCCTTTCTGCTTCACAGAATAACCCTTTTCTATACAAAAATCTCACAGTTAGAATCATTTTTCATTTCAACCTTACTAATATGAATCAGAGACAGACGGAGAGCGAGGGTTCAAAAATAGTGTTACTTGCAAGTTTATTTCAACCCACAGCTTTTATTTTATGGAAGAAGAATCTACATCTTGCTTGAAAATAAATTGAAGAAAATCCAGACTTTAAAGTGTTTCCATCAGAAATAAAAAAGCAAATTAAACTTGTGCAAACAGCTACAAATTGTATCTAAGGCAACGTCCTGTGGGGCAAATTATTCACCTGATTCTTTATAATATTAGTCATGACATCTTTATATCTATTACAGTTATTTTAAGCTCATCAGCAATGTTTTTGTTATGTTTCTAATAGAATCTAATAAGAATGACAACACACTTGTGAGCTGGAATGCCAAAAGACATTACTAGTATTACATATTTATATATACTCTAAGATAACTAGAATCTCTTTAAGACAGAGTGGAATTGGGTTTATGGTCAGCCATATTTACAAGTTCTTTTATCAGTAAGAGATGTATTATTTTCATAACCATAGCTGCTCAAATTCACTTGTACTTACAAATATTAAATATAATCATTAGTGTGCCAAACTGGGAAAGGGTAGAGAATATAAAGATGATTTATAGACATTTTTGAAAGAAATCAGTGAGTTCATAGGAAAATAAAGATAATCTGTCTTATCTCATATTATAACAATTTTATCTTCTTAAATATTGTATGATTGTAAAAATGGTGACAGTGGTATCGAATTCATTAAATTGTCTGCATAATGGCTCATTTTAAAAAAAGCATAGCAGGAGTCTTTGATAAGAATGAGTCTTGGCAGAAGTAAAATGCTATCCACATGGTACTCTATCAGAAATGCTACATATTTATCTGGAGAATGTTACAAATGGCCATCAAGGGAGTGGTGCTAACATTAGAGAATAATATTCTATAGATCTTTAAGGATGATAATGATTCCCACTTAACCATTCTGACAGCTGTATAAAGAGAATAGTACCATATCATTTTTAGCTGCTCACTTTAAAGCCATTGTTGAGTCCTAGCAAAAAGGATTTCACAATTTTGAAGGTTTGAGAGAACCCATATTGATAATGATAACAGATACAGTGAAACCCCTTTAAACCGACAGGCTGACAGATCACCGTGAAATGCTGGTTTGGAGGGGTTGCCAGTTTCCCTGTTGATTTGGCAATATAACAGTTACATCCCTTTATGACTTAATACATTATCTAAAGTTATCTCCCTTTAAAATGTTTACTGGACACCACGCGATGTCATTACAATAACTAACAATTTTTTACTCCATTTCCATTATTTTACTCCATTTCCATACTGTGGTTTAACTGTCCTTCTTTCGAATTATGTACCGTGCCAAATCATCTTGAGAAATTTTGGACAATTTCTGAGAATCTTTGATGAAATTGATCTTATCAGTAAGATTCAGTTCGACATAGAGCGTTCCATCAGCTAATTTAACACAAATTTAAGCTTGGGAAATGACCGAATGTTCAAATGCCGCAACACATAAAAGCGAAACTCAAATCGATATTCAAATTGGACTAGTGATTAATCATTTCCTTTGAAAATTAGTCACGGCACGTCATATTTATCTTTAATGTCGGATTAATATGTGAACAAATTAAGGTGTCAGTTTAGAGAGACTAATTAACTATAGATTAACTACTTAAAGGACTTGATTTCGATGCCGGATTGCGGTTTAGAGGGGTACTGGTTTACTGGGGTATATCTCCTATATATTATACAGTGATTCGTGTACAGAGGAATCCAGTTTATAGAGGATGCTGTTTAGAGGGGTTTCACTGTATACTGTCCTTTCTACCTTCCACAGGAGGTATAAAGAATTATTGATAAGTTATAAATACTTACAATATTTCCATCTCATGTAATCCTCTTATAGCTTGATCTGATACACAAGTTATTTCATTATGATCCAGTTGCCTGGAATATACAGATAATGTTTGATAAGTGTTGCGTGATTTACCACATGCATAATTTATTATAAATTAAGGATTCATGAGGGAGACTGGTGTTTCCCTATCAAGTTATATCTAAGTTTTTCTTTTTACACTTTTATTTTAATTTGGCTAATACAGACCAGATCTGAAGCCCACTGGTATACAGTAGGCGATGTCTCTCAGCCTAACCAAATGACACAGAGCAATTTGCTTGATGCTATGTTCGTTATGTATATAAATCAGTCAAAAATTTTGCAAAGGGCTAAATAGTTTAAGTTCAATTTTCTCCTCAAATTATTCAAAGTCAACATATCAGCAATCTCAGCAGTCATCTTGACATTTTTTTTACAGAAAGCATATGTTATAAATAAACTGAATAAATATGGCCACTTACAGATTCTTTAATTTTAAAGAGCTCTTGAGTGTTTTCTTTCCAATAAACTGTATCTTGTTATAACTAAGATCTCTGAAATGATAATAAAGCCACATCATACAAAAATTGTACAGAGAAAATGATGAGGTAAAGCACTCACTTCTGATGGCAAGGTTTGGCATGTGATAAAATAAGAATATTTATCATATACTTCAAGTAGGTTATGGAAACAGGCTAATTTTCCCTTTCATATTTCACCGATAAGAAATCTTGAACATCTTGAAACATGTGAGACACTTTAGATAACATGTCAAGATTCTTAGATTGTTCAGAACTTAAAAATTAGATTTTCTGGTTGTGGTTAATATGACATGTACTTTTAATGTTCATTTAATTGATTGGTGTATTTGTCATATAACTATAATTTAATTGAATTGTGTATTTGTCATATAACTATGATTTAATTGAATTGTGTATTTGTCATATAACTATGATTTGATTGATTTATGTATTTGTCATATAACTATAATTATAATTTAAGTGTAATTATGATTTATGTATTTGTCATATAACTATAATTATAATTTGATTGATTTAGGTTTTTATTTGAGTGTAATTATGATTTGTGTATGATTATGATTTTGTCGACTTACGGATTTGTTTTGATTTGTAAGGTTTGTGTCATTATTCTGATGTTATTGCTTGGTTGATGTAAATGTAGTCTCAACCACTCAACCTGTGATTTATCAACCTGATATGATTTATTAATATAAATATAAAAATGATGTTTTTACAGAAAAGGCCAGGTATCTGAGGTTTCCAAGATTACAATAGAAGAACTTAGAATATACACCAAACCTTAAAATTTACAACAGAACTTAAAATTTACCACAGGAGAACTTAAAGGTTACAATATGAGAACTGAAAGATTACAACAGGAGAACTTAAAGATTACTACAGGAGAATTTATAGATTACAACAGGAGAATTTAAAGATTACAACAGGAGTACAACAGGAGAACTTTAAGATTACAATATGAGAACTTAAAGAAGGAAAACTCAAAGTTTACAAGAAGAGATCGTTAAGTCAACAATAGAATTTAAACTTTACAAAAAGAGAACTTGAAATTTACAATTGGAGTCCTCACTGAGCCACCACAGTCCCCAATAGGAGAACTCTTTGAAAACTCACAAATAATTAGAGACCTTATAAAGGAAAACTTCAATCATTTTCAAGATATCTTGATCTATGCCTCGATGTTCTGAGAGGGTAGAAGTTATCTAGATTTTGAACAAAAAAAACTTGTTATCTCAGATGTCTACAACAAGTACTTCTTTCATGTTTAGTGTTTAAAGATGAAAGAGAATATTATCTTATATAATGGTAGAAATGCTTCTTATCATATTTTTATATATCAAAATATAGATTAAAGATGGAATCCCATGAAATAATTTTCCAAATAAATTCTCTTTTTGTGTACTTTAAAAAGTTAATTCAAGCCCCAGAAATACAACAATTTCAATTTTAATTGTAGAATGAATGAATTTGATCTGGTTCAATGTATTATAAATATAAATCCTTTCTTGTCATATCTTTTACATTAGAAGCCCCTAAATCATTCAATTATGATGACCCTCATTTATGCACATATTCTTGTTAATAATGAATCTTTATAATAAGATTTCAATAAAATCATGATTCAATCATTGACATGATGAACATAACAAATATCAGATACACCATCTTAATACTTCTTTCATCATTTTCCCTTATCATTTAAAAACATGTCTCTTTATAGATTTGTTATAACTTAAAACTTTGCTTAGCATCTGTTTTTTTTAAATTAATCTCACAATATCATCAGTTTATTTCACAATCTGATATAATCACCACTAATTGGCATTCTTTTATGGCAAAATTGTTGAAGGACAAGAAAGAGAAGGCAAAGGCTTCTAAACAGCACTAAAAACCTTCCTGCATCACTGATAGGTTACAATTAACATCATATCAAGAAGGTGCAGACTTGTGTGTTAAAAAAGATGCCAAAATGCTTAATCATCACTACTTAAACGCTTTCATATTGAAAAAGTTTCCAATCAGAATAACAGTAAAATTTTAAAAATGAACAAAAACACATATTTTTATAAGTATAATGATATGCTATCTTTCAATTTGCTGGAATATTCAGAAAAGTATATTGATGTTTATGTTTTGTATTTGACCCTTACTGTCTAACAGACTTACAGACATATCACATTACAATAAACTTCACCTCTATTGACCAGAGAAACTTTTCATTGAACCACCTGTTCACCTATTACTGTTGCATACTAAATCTTTGTTGGGAAAGTGATCTAGACTAAATAACAATCAGCTCTTAACCAGCCTACCAAGACTGAGGGTACAAATAGTGGGAAGACTAACTCAAACAAAAGGGAAGGGGGGGCCAACTGTGGCACCTGAATTCAAAATGTGACAATACTGTGGATGTTGCAATCTGCTCATAAAGCATCTGAGAGGGTTTTTCCAAGAAATCTAAAAAAAAAAATTGAATTGATTTGGTGCATTCTGCCACATATTTTGCAGCAAAAATATTTACCAACATATTTTGGAAATCGTTAAAAAAAAAGTGGGGTTACAATTAGGTGTGCAAACCATTAACTACTGCTATTAACTTATTCAGCAAATGCACTCATACAAGTAGTTGGTATGAAGAACACAATTTTTCTTGTTAAATTTTTCTTCAATATTTGAATATTTATTACACCAGTGGTTCTGACAAATACCATTCTAAAATAAAGTTGAGAAATTATATTTCATCTATGTTCTTCAGATTAATATAGCATATTTTTATTTGAATAAATACGGTCAGAATTACACTCTTGTTTAAAACACAAAGGGAAGGTAAATAATTTCTAGAGACATAATTCTCTTTGTTATATAAAACAGTAATGTTCACAATTTTTTCATTCATTCAAATGGATATGAAATAAATTCATAATGATTGAGAAAAACTCATGAATGATGTTGAACAGTACCTTATACAGTATACTCTGTGAAATCCGACATACACTGGGACCACAAAATAATGTCGGATTAGCGAGAGTGTCAGAGTACTCAGATGTCAAATATCACAGAGTACACTGTAGATAAAAGAATTCAACTATGCCCCCCTTAAATGTCCTTGCTATGCTTTAAGTCCAGTCCAGCTATTTTTCCACCAATAAATGAACAGACTTTGTTTAAATTAAAACAGTAGAAATTCAAATAATAATACCACTCAGACCTGAAAAAATGTTTAAAAAGATACGTTTGTCTGTGTTGAATAAACAGTGGATCACAAAAGACAAGCAGAGTGTTATTTGATTTAGCCCTGTCCAAGGTAAACATTTGGTCCACTCACTAGTCCAGCGTCCAATAACCTTACAGTAACATGATAATTAAGGTATAGACAAAAACCTGAAATTTTCATTGCGATTACTGGCTTTGCAGGTAGTTGTAAACATACAGACAAGATATAGGCGAAGCTGTGCTAACAGATAAAATACACAAAGCTCTCTTGAGATGATCCCCTTGCGCGTCTGTCTACCTTTGTACCTCCCTGATCAAATGGCAAGGTCATGACCATTTAACACAAGATCATTTCTTGTCAACTGTTTTGATACAATCAACAGCCCTTTAACACGCCTGATGCTGCATTGATGCAAGCCCACCCCATGAGACCTACCTCATTAGGATAAAATTTATGAGCACAGAATTGGAAAAATAGAGTATATTGACTGTGTATTGAATTTGTACCTAAATATTTACAAATGTCTAGATGTCATAACAGAAAATTATGTATAGCATATACATTGGTATGCACCTATACATGCAATTTTGTCACAGCCCTACTTAAGTTTAATTTGGCTAGTAAACAGCATATAACTGGGCTACTTCGCGTAAATGGTCATTTTAGTAAAAAGAATTCCAATCTTTTATTTCTATTTATCGTACCATGAATGAAATTTTGTAATTAAACATGATGAATAAGATGCCTTCAAAGATATTTCACTTTATACAGTAGTATTAAGAAAATTCATACTCTTATAACTGACATTAGAGGTTAGATTGATAGACTGCTGGTAATTATTGAGATTTTCAAAGAATTCTTAAATTTGTTCTTTAACATATGTCGACTTTGAAGATATCTCAGAATACATTGATCATTTCTTACTATCATAAGCAAGCCAACTTCAAGCCTACCTTTAAGACACAACTAATTTAGGTTTGGTAGACAGGTTAATGAAAAAAAAATTTTTTTTTTAACCCAAAACCTTGAATCTGAAAATATCACAGCAATATGACAAAATATCAGATATCTTAGATAATGAGGAACAAATTTACATTTGTTTTATGTCTATACATGTACATTCCATCTTCTTGCATAATCAAGGATTAGGCAAGGTCAAATTTGATAGTTGAAGGTGAAAAAGGATGGTTTAAATATCATGTTGTTTTTTATTAAATTATTTAATCATGTAACTTCTTTTGTCATATTGTCACTTATTTTGGACATTTATATCTCCTTTAGAATTTTTTTGGCTATGTACAAACTGTTCATACGGTCATGGTGAGGAATTTAAAGATAGCTTGCCAGGCAAGGTAATATACGCCCACTGGCAGCTTTGATTTTGAATACAAATATTTAGCAGTACAATAACAATCAACAGTATGAAATATTCAACCTTCAGTCATACACTTCTTTTGAACACTTCAGGGCGATACTGAATAATATTGATCAAGAGTTATTGCCCTTGTTCTTGAAAACATGTTCAATTGTGAAAACTCTAAACTCTTTCACCAAAATCCGTCAAGAATTGTGCCTTCTAGAGTGTTTACAAGATAAAAATTGAACATGTTATCAAGAACAGTAACAACTCATAGTAAATATTTGTTGAATCTTCTGACTTTCATAGGGGTTCATCCTTGGTTGATTACGAACACTCACGCCAAGTTTCACCAAAATCCGTCAAGAATTGTGTCTTCTAGAGTGTTTATGAGCAATTGTGTACGGACGGACATGGGTGACAGCAATATACGCCCCTCCATTTCAAGTGGGTGTATAAAAAGGTATTGAAATTCATAACAAATTTCACCCCTATAGCAATTATTACTGCAAAGTTAAGTTGTGAGTTTCCTGCCACCTTAAAACTCAAACAAAATGACAATGAGCAATAAAAGTTTGTTACCATAGTGATAGTGACTATCAGGTCCATAAATTTGATATTATTGTAAAATTAATTGAAATTACTATCAAGGACAATAAGTATTCTAACTAATAAAGTTATTAAAGTCAAGGAGCAGATTTCTGGGCATACCAAACTTTCAAAATTGGTGCTACAAATAGCGACCAACGTACCAATCATGATTTCTGCATTATCAGGAATCTATCTGCAGACATAAAATTGGCATCCTGTTTCATGTCAGTCAAATACATGATGATTAGAATTCCATGGTATGTTGTTGCATCTATCATGAAATTTCAACCTTCAAAGATTCATGAGCTACACAAGTGGTTTTTATAACCTCATGTAACCTTAAAACATGTGCAACTAAAAAGTATCAGACATAAAGCACCTTGTACTTATCAATCAAGTCTGGACTTCTGAATACAATATACAACTTCAACATTGAAATGTTTAG